AGATTTTTTTTAAACATTTTTATTGATTTTAGAGAGGAAGGGAGCTGGAGTTAGAAATATCAATGATGAGAGAGAATCGCTGATTGGCTGCCTCTGCACGCCCCACACTGGGGATCGAGCCCGCAACCTGGACATGTGCCCTGACGGACAATCAAACCGTGACCTCCTGGGTCATAGGTCGCTGCTCAATCACTGAGCCACACTGGCTGGGCACTCTTTGCCCTCTTGACTGTTTACACCTATTGTTCTCACAGGCTCTTCTCAGGTTAAAAATTTTCCCCCCACAAAGGAGCCCTGTTGGAAGACAATTTTCATATCCATGTCTTTCCCTCACACTAAATATTGTGGTGCCTTCACTGCTCCCAAAGGGTACTGGGCCCTGTCTGTTGAGCTTGTTCTGATTTCTTGTCCCCTCATGGAGCGCATCCAGAACTGCTAGCACACCCCAGGTGTCGTCCAACCTGTGCGGACAGGGCGAGCTGGTCCCTTCTCTATCCTAGAGGTGGCACTGACCCTCGGAGCAATGACATCCCTGCCCAGGCAGCGAGTCTTTGAACTCAGGGTGCAGGCAGGACTGGCGCTAAGGCCTCACCCTTGGCCATACCCTCTCCTACCCAGGCAGGAAGCGGTGGGCAAGGTGCTGGCTTCCCCAACAAACAACGAGGATGACTGGACCATATCTATCGGGCCCCCACCCCAGCTGACCCACCACAATAGTAATGACGAGATTGCCCGAAGCTGAGGACACAGTTTATGAGACAGGAGATGAGAAAGGTGATGATCAGTGACTTTAACAAAAATGTTTAAGTCTCGTCCTAACTGGTTTGGCTCAGTGGTAGATAGAGCATCGGCCTGCGGACTGAAGGGTCCCAGGTATGATTTGGGTCAAGGGATGTACCTTGCTTGCGGACACATCCCCAGTAGGGAGCATGCAGGAGGCAGCTGATCGATGTTTCTCTCGTCGATGTTTCTCTCTATCCCTCTCCCTTCCTCTCTGTAAAAAAATCAATAAAATATATTTTTAAAAATGTTTAAGTCTTAAATATTAGAGGTCTTAACTGCCTTTTAAATAAAATTTAAATTTTGCGTAAATGATACAAGCTTGTTTTAACTAATGTAAACAACATGGAACAGTCCAAAGGAGAAAATACAAATCACTCCCAATGCCCCCGCACAGCAAGAACCGGGGATAACATCTGGGTACCAGCCATGTTAAATGCATTTACCAAGCCACACCTTGGCGGGGGTTAGAAGAGGTTTATAGCAGGGCTTTCTCCTGCTCCAGTCCATCGTGGTCTTCAGCCACCACAGGGCTGGCCCGTGAGGGAGGTGGGGGAGGGCCTGCAGGGGTTATTTTTACTTATTTAAGCTTCTCTAAGACCAGGATGCCAGAGCTCGGGCTGCAGCCTCCTATCTGGTTTTAGGCAGAGACACATGGACACTACAAATAGCCTGGAAGCCCCTTCTGCTCCGAGTAACCCGAGAGCGGGGCACATTCCGCGCAGGGCAAGTGGGAGCCTCGGGCCGCATGTCTGGCTCCATGGGAGATGAGGGGGGAAAGGGTGCAGAGGGTCAAGTACCCATAAAAGGGGCTGGCCCTCCGCTTTCCAAGTCCTGAACACCTGTCCGACAGAAAGAGCTCGTCTTGCTGTCAACACCGCATCCGTTCACACGGATTAGGCCACGAGGAATCTCTGGGGCTGTAAATTATTGGGGGCGGGGGGGGCATAAGTCACTTCTACTCTGCAGACCCTGATGCACCTCTGTGCTTTTTAAATATATATATTTTTTTATTGATTTCAGAGAAGAAAGAGGGAGAGAGAGATAGAAACATCAATGCTGAGAGAGAATCATCGACCGGCTGCCTCCTGCACACTCCCTACGGGGGATCGCGCCCGCAACCCGGGCATGTGCCCTGACCAGGAATCGAACCTTGACCTTGTGGTTCATAGGTCAACACTCAACCACTAAGCCACGCCGGCTGGATGTGCATCTCTGTGCTTTTAAGGAACTCGCTCACAGAAGGATCTGGAAACTTTTCCTTCCTGATGTGAGGTGGACCCAATGTCGGGAGGCCCCATTCCTGTCCTCTTTGCCCTTCCAAAGCCTGTAACTTCCTCAGAGCCCAGGCTCCTCTCCCCCCAACACTGCCTGCTCCTAAACTGCCTTTCTTAGCTCCGTCCACTGCCTGTACGGCTCTTGGCGGCCTCCAGCAGCCCCGCACGCCGGCTTGGCTTTGGGTGTCGAACCTAAGGAATACGGGGTGACGCTGGTAGACGGGATCTTCAAGCAGGTGTCTCTGTGCTTCCTTTCCATCTCCTCTAACCAGCCAGGAAACGGGGTGACCAAGCTGCTGTCCCCCCAGCGCCTCAGACAGCCAGGCCCACCTCCCAAGCCCTCTGCAGTAAGTACCTTCGAGATAACCTTCCGGATGACTCATGAGGGGAGGCACCTTCCCAGACTCTGAGCAAGCTCCCCACACAGGCATGCTGGCCCCCTCGAGTCAGCAGAAAAGCAAGAATGCATTTAGGGGCCTGGCAGACCATCCTCCTGTCCCCAGCCAGGAACAGGCTGGGCTGCAGGGAGGCAGGGCCAAGTTTCTTACCCCCGCCGTTTGCTCTGGGGAGGAGGGAGGAGGGAGGCAAGGCCTGCAGCAGCCTCCGCCACTGCTCCCCAGGCTGGGACAGCAGAAACATCTGCTTGGAGTCTGGAGGCGCCCCGCTCAAACCTCATGCTGGGAAAGCAGAGCCACCAAGCGCTCCGGCTCTGGCTGCCAAGGGAAGCTGTGCTCCCTGGGAGCCGGGGTGCAGGGCCGCCCCCTGCCCCCCGCTCCCGCCATGGCCCAGGGCCTCCCTCTCCTTGCCACAGGCCCAGGGCTGCGGGGAGCCAAGGCAGCCAGGGCATGAGCTGGCCCCGCCTGGCCCACTGGACTTGATGGAGAACTCGGTAAGCCAGGTGTGGCCTCACCCAGCTGGGGTGGGTCCCGGGGAGCCCACGCAGAGACCCGGCCCTGCAGACTCTGACAGTCTGAGTTTGGACGGTCCTGTTGCTGGGCTTCGGGCAGCTGGGCCTCATCCCGCGGAGGCGCCCCTCCCAGCCTCCTGCACTTGGCTCTACTTCACCATGGTCTGGATCCAGTTGCATAACACACTCCATCCGAAGCTGTTTCTGCAATTAGGATGACAGCTAATCCCAAGCAGCCAAGAAAGAGAAGGCTTTTAAAGTATACAAGGAGTTCTTATGACCCCGAGGGGGCCGCGAGTCCAAGCGCGTCATCCGAGACAACACAACAGGGGCAAGACTCATGTTCCAACAACTCGGGCCAGGAGCAGGGAGCCAGGTCTCCGTTCGGCCCCCAGAGCAAGAGCTGCTGCTCGGAGAGGGGCCGCTGCCTCGCTGCCGCCGCTCGAGGCGAGCCCTTCGGGACCAAATGTGGGTCCCGTCGCCTGCTGGCTCCCACTCCTTCCCTGGCCAGGCTCCAGTGGGTGCGGGGGCCGGAAGGGTAGGCAGGGAATGGAGTGAGGAGGCCTTGGGGTGAGGGCTCCTCCAACTCGACAAGCACAGGAGAGCACCTCCTAAACATGGGCCCTCGGCACCGACCACAGAGCAGAGGCTTAAGCCACCGGCACAAAGGCAGGTGGGCGGCTGGGCGGCTGGGCAGGAGGCAATGAGAACGTTCCCTCCAGGAAACTGCGCTTTGGGAGGCCTTCCTCCCGTCAAGGCCACCAGGCTTAGCATCAGGCGGCCCTGCACACGCTCATCTGTGCCTGGTGCTGCTCCGGGGCCTCGATGGAGGCAGCAATGGCTCCCCTGCGCTCTGCCTGTGCTCAGCCAGGAAGAAGCCCTGGCGTGGAGGGCAGGAGGAGAGCGAGGGCAGAGGGTCCATCCCCCAGCTCCCGCCCTGCCAGGTCACTGTGAGCCGGTCAGAGCCACTGCCCCAAAGCGCAGCTCCTCTCAGCCAGCCCTCTGCACAGCTCTGCTCCCCGGTCCCCATCACTTCAGGCTGACTAGCCGAGGGCCCTGCCTGGCCCCTGGCCCCATGCCTCACTCCCGCCCGCACCTCGTGAGGAGTCCCTCGCTGACCCAGTGCGCACGCACGCACGCCCGCAGAACCCTGGCAGACGACTCCCGCTTCGCCTGCTCCTGACGCTCGGGGGGCTGCCCTCCTACAATAACCAAACCTCCACTGGCTTCCCAAGCGCCTCCTGATCCCAGAGCTGCCCCCACTCACCCTTCTCCCTAAAAGTGGGTAGGGAGAAGGTAGACAGTGTTCTATGAGACACTAGAACAGTGGTGGCGAACCTATGACACGCATGTCAGGGGTGACACGCGAACTCATTTTTTTGGTCGGTTTTTCTTTGTTAAATGGCCTTTAAAATATATAAAATAAATATCAAAAATATAAGTCTTTGTTTTACTATGGTTGCAAATATCAAAAAACTTCTATATGTGACACGGCACCAGAGTTACGTTAGGGTTTTTCAAAATGCTGACACGCCAAGCTCAAAAGGTTCGCCGTCACTGCACTAGAATAATGTTTAGGGAAGTAACATCTATAGGGTGTATCAAAAGTCACGCAAGATTTGCAATTGAATTGAATTGAATTGCAAATCTCGGGTGAATTTTGGGACACCCTATAGAATCTTATCAAATTAAAGCCACTTTTGAATTGTTTTCTCT